AAATTTCAAAGATTTCAAAATAACTTCTTTCACATTGTCATTATGGAGTATTGTTTGTAGAATGTTGAGGAAAAAAAAAAAATTTAATCCATTTTGGAATAAGGTTGTAACATAACAAAATGTGGCAAAGGTTAAGCGCTGTGAATACTTTCTGGATGCACTGTACCCGATTTTTACCAGAGCATGCAGGGAAGGGGAACAAGCATGAGGCCCCTTCCAAACCATTCCAGGCCCCTGTCCTCTACATGAGATGGATAGCTCTGAAAAGCACCGTGTCTCCATGTGGATTAAGACTCTTTCCCACAACCTTGGCTCATTGCTGGTGAAATAGCATTATCTCATATATACTAAATGTTATACAGCTTGTGAAAGGGAAACACTTTGGAATATTGGTTAACAATAAGTTAAGCAATAAAATGTTATACCAAGTGACAGCTACAAAAGTAAACACTCTTTTTTTATGAAGTAAAATAAAAACAACTGATGCTCATACGAAATTGTATGTGTTTAAATCCCTTGCAAGGCTATATCTAGAATATGATTGTGATCTGATTGTGGGCACCACATTTTAAATAAGACATTTTGGAGAGAGTCAAGAGGCAGGAAATTAAATAATAAAAGAGAGAGGCAATATATTTACAGTGAAAATTATACAAATATGGAATATTTATTTTTCATATTCATATAAAGAAGGTTAAAGTGTTCAAATGTAGGTCAGTACGAAGATTTGACAAATGTACTTTATTCCAAGATCTGCGCAAAGGACAAAAAGACATCAATTGAACAGGGAATAAAGATGACTCTTTCATCTGGATAGGAAGGATTTCTTGTGTAATAACAGTTAAACTATGAATTGCTGTACCAAGTGATAATAATGGTATGCATTACTACATGTAATAATGGAAAAAAACAATGGAAGAAAAAGCACTGTATGTTTTCTTTCAACTAATATTATTCATAAATATAACTATAACTATTAGAGTAAGAGAGAAATGTTTTCATCCAGGAAACTGAAATGATCTTGGAGGATCATGAAGAACTTTGTTTCCTCCATTGTGGTGAAACTGCCCGGATTTACACAAAGCTGCAACAGTTATGAAATGTTAAACATGATGGACATTAATGGTTTTTCAACCTTATTGACTTACTAACTATAATTCCCCAATCATGTTCATCATGATCATGATTCATCCTGCAAAAGCTGAACATTTGTCTTCCTATAGAGCAAAAGGAGAGTATGGATCACAAGCATATCATGTGCTCCTTCAAGTTTCTTTATTGGTCAAATAAATACAGAAATGTTTTGGAACTCTTAATACATCCCCTTAATACATCCCCTTCTTCAGGCAAAATGACAAAAACGAGTGCCCTATAAATAGTACAATCCACCAATCAGATACAAAGCCCTCCCCAATAACCAAGTAACTGCCCATATACAAACAATAAACATGCCAAATAGGTGATTGCATGCAGTTTGAGATTCTTTCCATGAATAAAAATGTTCACGCCATCATTCCAAACAATCAGTAACATCAAAAAGTGCCCTTTGTATCTAACTGGTTAAGTGTACTATTTAAGGTTCACTGGTTTTTGCCATTACTTTCATTACTAATCTTCTGGTGATTAGGGATTTGGGGTATCTCCCATTATTATTCACACTGGATTTAGATCACTGAACAGCATGACTGCCATTGGATTCACATTTTTTTGAGAGGGTTTTCTATTAAAATCATGTTTTTAATAGTGTTTGTTTTTTATTTACTATTTCATTTTTTTCATATGAATGCATGTCTCTCTTACTCATTCACATGGGGGGGCATATATCTGGGAACCACCCAAAAAAAAAATATTACCCATTTTTTAAAACAGGCCAATCACATTATCCAGTAATGTAGATCCAGTGCCAATCTTGCTAAGCAATGCTTGATGACCCCACCAACATGATGACCCAGTGCCACTACAATGCTGCCATTACTGCTACTTCCATCACAGGTCTGTGATGTTGCTAGAATGTAAACAACAGCACCAGGAAACCTGGGAGATATAGTTGACCAAATTTGGTCATGTATTGGTGTTAGTTTTTTGTTTAAATGTAATTTTTAAAGGAATACATAGTACAGCTTTTTGTTATAAGACTCCCAGTGTTAATGAGGAGGTGGAGACTCAGCTCCTTGCACAGATCAAAAGGGCTGCAAGGGCTGGGACAGTGATAATAATAGGGAATTTTAGCTACCTGGAAATTGACTGGAGTAATAGTACTGCAGGAACAGTTAAAGGAAAAACATTTATAAACCTACTACAGGACAATTGTATGGTACAGTTCATAGAGGCCCCAACTAGGAGTGATGCTCTGCTGGACCTGGTAATCTCAAACCATGCAGAGCTTATTACGAATGTCTATATAAAAGAACATCTGGGTAGCAGTGACCATAACATGATTTTATTTATTGTTAGCTGTAAACAGCAAGTGGGTACGGGAAAAATAAAAATGCTCAATTTTAAGAGAGCTAATTTTTCCAAGGTTGGGAGCTGCTCTCCAAGCCTTTTAGACTGGGAGGAAATATTGGCATTGCTGAATACAACACAGAAATGGGAGTTCTTCAAAAAGACTGTATGCGTACACACTGCAAAATATATTCCCATGGGCAACAAGTTTAAAAGGCTAAAAATTAAACCTATGTGGCCTACGGCCAAAGTTAAAAAAACTATAGATAAGAGCTTTTATTAAATATAAAAATGAATGAGTGCTATCATCATTTAAACATTACAATGAATATAACAGAATATGCAAAAGGAAATAAAGACCGCAAACATTGAAAATGAGCGACAGATTGCAAAAGATAGCAGGACAAACCCCAAACAATTTTTTAAATATATTAATAGTAAAAAGGTCCGGTCTAAGCATGTAGGCCCTTTACAAAATAATCTAGAGTGGGTGACTGGGGACAAAGAGAAGGCAAATTTATTAAATACCTTTCCAGCTCTGTGTATACAAAGGAGCATAGGGGGGCTCTTTGTCCGTAATGGGCATGGTATCGACACAGTTCCAGATGATCTACATTTGGCTCACAATTGATATGATCCAGAAATATTTAGACAGAATAAAGGTGAATAAAGCACCTGGACTGGATGGCATACACCCAAGGGTCCTTAACCATTAGCACCCAATGGCCGTTTGGCGGCTTGAAAAGTGCTGCAGCTTTCCGGGTGCACGCCATTTGGCTGCTCCCGCACATGCGCGGTTTGCGCGGTTGCAGAGCTACGCAGCAGTGCGATCTGTCACCGCCCGTGCACCTCGGACACGGCCGATGACAGATTTAAACGGCTCCGTTTGCGGTACCATGTGACCTGCTGTGACCAATCACAGCAGGTCACATGACAGTTGTATACAATGGATGGCTTCATTTCATGATGTCATCCATTGTATACTAGTGCCTAGCTGTGAATGGTCACAGCTAATCACATGCACATGTCATGTGATTAGCTGTGACCAAATCACAGCTAAGCACAAAAAAAAAAAAAAAAAAGCTGAATGATGAAATCGATTTTCATTCAGGTAAATGCTTGCTTATAGCAAAGTAATTCTTTGCTATAAGCAAATTGTGTGTAAAAAAAAAAAAAAAAAAAAATACTGATCACTTCCCCAAAGTAGTACAGTGTTACTATGGTAACATTGTACTATTTTGGTCATAGTAAAATATGAAAAAAAAATCGGTAATAAAAAATTAAATATAATAAAAAAATTAATTTTTTTTTTTAAAAAAAATATATTTTTTTTTTCATACTATCACCAGTCAGTGTCGCTGTTCACCGCCATGTCAGTTATATGATGATGCTGTACTGCACTGGTGACAGTATGTAAAAAAAATAAATAGTGAAAATAATTTTTTTAATTTTTTCATTTTCCGAAAAATTATGACAAAAAAATACAACTTCAAAAAACTTGCCATGCCTCTTATGAAGTACGTCGGACTGTCTACTCTGCAAAAAGGGGTCATTTGGGGGATATCTGTACTGTTCTGACATTCTTGGACCTCAAGATATTAGATTGGCTGTCAGTACTTCAGGATTGATCAATCATTCAGATCTATACCATAGTTGTGAACTCTATAACTTTCCTACAAACTAAAAAATACATCCTAATTTGGGTTATTTTCACCAAAGACATGTAGCAGAATACATCTCGGCCTAAATTTATGAGAACAATTATTTATTTGTAAACTTTATAACAGAAACAAAGAAAAATGTGTTTTTTTTTCAAATTTTTTGGTCTTTTTTTGTTAATTTAGCAAAAAAATAAAAACCCCGTGGTGATTAAATACCACCAAAAGAAAGCTCTAGTTGTGTGAAGAAAATGATCAAATTTTAGTTTGGGTACAATGTTGTATGACCGCGCAATTGTCATTCAAAGTGTGAGAGAGCGCTGAAACCTGAAAACTGGCCTGGGCAGGAAGGGTGTAAAATTGCACGGTATTGAAACGGTTAAAGAATTGAGCTCTGTCATTTCAAAGCCATTGTTTTTCATTTTTAAGGACTCTTTAACCTCTTGCCAACCGCGCATAGCCGAATGACGGCTTCACCGCGGCCGGCCAGTTCTGGGTGGACGTCATATGACGTCCTCCCAGAACGCGCTCTCCTGCGCGCCCCAGGGGGCGCGCACCGGCGATCTCCATGATCGCTGTGTCCTACGGACACAGCTGATCACGTGATGTGGTAAAAGGCCAATCACAACGGCTTTTTACACCTGATCAGCGGTGTCCAATGACACGCTGATCAGAGGGAAATGCAAGTGCCGGTTCTCGGCTGCACTTTCCCACACTGTCAGATCATGAGGAAAGTACTGCCGAGAACCGGCAGTTGTCAGAATGGGGATCGGCACCGATCATCAGGGCACTGATGATCAGTGCCCTGATGATCGGTGCCCAGCAGTGCCACCCGCAAGTTCCGCCCAGCAGTGCGCACTAGCTGCCCACCCGTGCCCAGCAGTGCACCCACCTGTGCCCAGCAGTGCACCCACCTGTGCCACTCTGCAGTGCCACACCTGTGCCCAGAAGTGCCCACTACATGTGCCCAGCAGTGCCACCCACCTGTGCCCACCCACCAGTGCCACCCACCTGTGCCCACCCACCAGTGCTGCCCACCAGTGCCACCCACCAGTGCAGCCCAGCAGTGCTGCCAGTCAGTGCCACACAAGTCAGTGCCCAGGGGTTGTGCCAGTCAGTGCCGCCAGTCAGTGCCCAGCAGTGATGCCAGTCAGTGCCGTCTATCAGTACCCATCATCAGTGTCACCTATCAGTGCCGCCTATCAGTGCTGCATATTAGTGCCGCCTATCCGTGACACCTCATTAGTGCTGTCTATCAGTGCCGCCTATCCGTGCCACCTCATTAGTACTGCCTATCAGTGCCCTTTAGTGCTGCCTATCAGTGCCCATCAGTGCCGCCTATCAGTGTCCATCAGTGCTGCCTCATCAACGCACATCAGTGAAGGAGAAAAAATGCCTGTTTGAAAAATTTTATAATAGAAACAAAGAAACTTTTTTTTTTTTTTAATTTTTTGCACTTTTTTTATTTATAGCGCAAAAAGTAAAGCGCCCAGCGGGGAGTAAATACCACCAAAAGAAAGCTCTATTTGTGAGGAAAAAATGATCAAAATTTCATATGGGTACAATGTTGCATGACCGCGCAATTGTCAATCAAATCAAAATGCGGCAGCGCTGAAAGCTGAAAATTGGCCTGGTAAGGAAGGGGCATAAGTGCCCGGTAGGCAAGTGGTTAATGACTGACATAGTACCACTGGATTGGCATAAGACCAATGTGGTGCCAATATTTAAAAAGGGGTCAAAATCTTTACCAAGTAATTATAGACCTGTTAGTTTAACTTCTATAGTTAGGAAGATACTGGAGAGTTTAATAAAAGAACTACAAGTACTATCAGCCATTGTGGCTGATGGCGTGTAGCTCTCAATCAACTACTAGGGCACTGGTGAGTGATCTTGTAGTTCATTGATCTTCCTTTTTCTCAAGTACCTGCCTGTTCATTTGAGGTATGGGCAGACAGCTAACCTGAGAGTCTGCAGGAGGCTGATATTGCACCCGTGATCTACTTATCATGGGTGCAATGCTCTGCAGGCTCCTTAGAAAAAAAATATTAAATGCACATTTTCAAAAATATGCATTTATTAGTTTTTTCAAAAGGTGAATGTATCTTTAAAAAAGTGTTTGGTATGCATCAATATTTAAAATCATATAGGCCATTTATTGCAACATGTATGTAGAAGTGAAAAAAAACACCTTCAACCCTGGTGCTTCCTAGTATGGTATTTTGCTTCTTCAGGAGAATAGGGATGAAGGTAATGTACAATGTATAATAAGATATTAGTACCATTATATATTTCAATTCATACATTCATGTTGCACAAAGAAAAGGCCTATAATAAATTAAAAAAAAAAATATATATATATATATATATATATATATATTTGCATTACATATTTGTTAATTGTTCATTGTTTTTGTTAATTGTTCATATGAGATGTACTAAGAAATAAGAAAGTGTACTTCTTATTGAGACACATGGGTATGTTACCATTGGATTTTTATATGGAAAGACAGTGCTTTTTTTGACCTACTCTGTAACCTGATTACTTTTCACAAATTGCATAATACCAAATCACTGCATAATAGCTTCTGATATGATTCTCTCACTAATTAAAATTTGAGTTATCGCCATAGTTAAGTTATTATAGATCATTATTCTTATAGTGGCTATGTAAACCCTTGAAAAATGCATGTGGAAGTCACCAATAGCATTTTATGGGATAGTATATAACATCATATGTCATGCAAAGATGTCCTTTTGCAATAGTTTAATATGTTCCCAATCTGCCCTTGAAAACCTTATGTAATGCTGAGTTTTCTGTGTAATTATACACATCATCATCTGCTGCATGTGCTTTGAGGATAAAATACAAGTAGAATCTCCTTTTTTAGCTATCTTTGCTGTTTTCTCTATGTAAGTTGGTATATAGAAGAATTAAACCTGTAAAGACAAACAATTGTAATAGAAAAGGTTTAGCTGTGATAACCTGAACACACTTTTTTCCCTACTCTAGTTTTAGGGCCCATTTACTTCTTTTCAGAGCATTTTTGCACATGTGTCAACCTGCATTATGTGTAATGAGTTAGGTTGCGCAATACTCTGGTTAAAACGGAACTAAACCCATCAATTTAAAGGTTTTAAAAAAAACAGTTATATTCCTGGCATGCCAGGAATGCTAACTTTCACATTTGCTTGTATTCTCAAGCAAACTGTCAAACCATCAAATGACTGGTGTCATAACTGCATGCATCATGTGTATCACCAAGGCAGTTGCAGATAAAACAGAGGCCAAGATGGTATCTTCCTTGGCTGAAAAGGATCGGAGGGTTTAGTACCGCTTTAATGTAGCCCACTAAAGTAAATGGCCTGCCGACACTCTAACATGCTAAAGAAAAGCACATGACTACTGTGAGTTGCTACAATGCAGGTACATTGCCTTTGTGCTTTGGAGTGAAATTCAAAATGACTGTAAACACAATGCAACAATGCAAATTATGTGCATCACCACAACATGAAAGTGTAAATGAATCTTTAAGTATTAAAAAAGACGCCAGAAATAGCTATATATGTTCAGTGCTTTTACTACCTCTGAAATTGATCACAGTATTTTCTCTACGATCCTTCAATTATTTTTTTCAAATCACCCAGAGTCAACAGTTACTTCCTGCAGTAAAATTTTTACCCTAAATGTCATGTACATTTTGGTGTGTGTAACAGCAACAGTAGCTCTTATGTTAAAGTGTTGTCATTTTTTTTTTGTTTTGGATAGATCAGGGCAGAATTGAAATCCTGAGAAATTTTTATTGTTGTCTGTGTCCTTGGAGGACAGATTTACCCTCTTTCTCTGTGCTGGTGAATTCTTAAAGTGATATTTTTTCAAAAAAAGCAACAAACATGTTATAGTTACTGCTCTGTGCAGTGGTTTTGCGCTCCTGGCTCCTCCCTCATGCCGATTGCCAGAGCAGGCAGCTTGCTATGGGGGCACCCAAGCAGGCTCACTCCTAAGCCACTGCTCTGTGTGTCCATTCACACACAGACCCATGGCTCAGCCCCACCCCATCTCTCTTCTCATTGGCTCACTGGCTGTGATTGGCCCCTGGAGAGCCAAAGCTTTTGTGCACATTGCTGGACCACTATGGGGCTCAGGTAAGCATTAGGGGGGGGGGGGGGGGGCTTCTGCAGACAGAAGGTTTTTTACCATGTTGCATAGAATGCATGAGGGTACAAAAACCTTTAGGACCACTTTAAGTTTTTTGAGCTTTATAGTTTTATAGCCTAGTATTCAGATTTAAATACATGCAGCAAATATGAGAGAACTGCTATTACAATGTTTTATAGCTTATTGCCAAATTATTATTAGCACTGACTCCCTTTTAAGCATTTTTATAACTGCTTACAATTTCAAATGAAGTGTGATTTGAACTATTAGATTATCGTAACATCATCGTAATAGTTGGAGACACGTTGGAGTTAATTAAAGGCACACTCCAGTCAAACGTAAAAGTAAACCTTGAAAAGCTTACAATTTGTAGTGCTTTACCTGATCAGGTAGTCAGAGTAATTTTTAAGACCATGGTGGGCTTTAAATTGCTCCTGAGGTTTACAGAGGCTCATTTAACTATCCTATACTTGTTCTTGTACCTACAACAGTCTCTTATTAGACTTATTCATTTATCCTTCTTTTTCAGATCAGGCAAAAAACATGCAGTGAAAAATAAATAAAATGACAGTACACAGAAAAAACACAAACACAACATACACACAAATAAATTAGGTAAAACTAAACTAATTAAGATATAGAAATCTTATACCTTTAACCTTTGTCTCCCAGGGTCCAGAGCCATCCTAATAGGCATAATGATTTTGGGGGTAATTATCACGCAACATTTTGTGATTTTTCATTTACAGATTCTGAACTGATCAAGTGCCCTGGGCATGCAATGTTGAGCAATAATTATCAGCAGGAATACTATTCAGTTTACCAACAGTTGATGAACTGGCTCAAATGCTTTTTATATAATATTGCACATTTCTCAGGGGCTCAGACACCTTGTATTTTTAGAAGAGTGTATACCATTTTATGTTCTAGTGCTGGCTTATTACTTCTGACATTTGCATCACACTAATTAACAGAGCAGAGACACCTTACACTTCCAATTTAGTTCCTAAAAATTTACATTCTAATTTTTCATAGAAGTGATACATTTTATGAAACACACTAATTAGCATCTCTGTATTCAATTTGACACTCTGGTAATCCATGTATGCATGTGTCAATTTATTTTAGCCTCTTAAAAAAAAGGAAAACTATTTGAAAGAATACATTGGAGGACAATATTTTGCTGATATGCAGTACTTTTTAAACAGGAGACATATCATTCTTTTGGAATTATTAAAATATATATATATATATATATAAATAATATATACAGTACTTTGTTAAAGAGCTGAAATAGATTTTTGTTTTTTTGTCTCTGATCTACACAAACTGTAGATGTGACAACATTGTCACAAGAGGTTTTGCAATTAATTAGATGGATTCACCTATATACAAAGTGTCATGTGATTTTAAAACAAATAAACCTGTTTCTGAAAGGCCTGGAATAAGCTCTATACTCAATAATGTTGAGCTTTGTGGCAAAGAACAGAGCAGGCCCGGGACTGGGGGGGCAGCTGAGCAGCTCCCGGGGGGGCACGGGAAAGTTGGTGACGAGACTTGCCACTAACCACTCACAGGGGCCAAAACAGCAGTGGGAAGTAGCAGACTCCTGCCCCTGCCATTTGCATTGCACTTAAACTCTCATGCAAATGTAGCCTTAGAACAGGGTTTGGATGCTACTACTTTAGAAAAGCTTTTGGAAACTAGTTACCAACCCCTGCTATAAAGTGCAGTTCCCTTTGAAAACCTTTAAAGTAGTGGTTACAAAGTCAATTATAAAGCTTTACTTGCAAAGCCAGTTATTAAGCAAACTTTCTTTATAAGTGGCTCTGTGAGTAATGCTTAGTAACTGGCTCTGTGAGTAATGCTTAGTAAATGGCTTTGTGAGTACTACAAAGAGAGTTATAAAGCAATACTCACAAAGCAAGACATAAAGGAGTTTTCTACATAACTGGCTTTGTGAGTAATGCTAAATAACTGGCTATGTGACTACTGAAAAGCCAGTCATTAAGCATTGCTCACAAAGCCAGTCATTAAGCATTACTCACAAAGCCAGTTATCAAGAAAAACTCCTTTATAACTGGCTCTGTGAGAAATGTTTTATTACTAGATTTGTCAGTACTGCAAAGCCAGTTGTAAAGCATCACTTACAGAGACAGTTATAAAGAAGTATTGCTTTATAACTGTTTTTTTTTGAGTATTGCTT